GATCCACAAAGTATGGTTAAAGTAATTGAAATTGTTTTACATAAACTGTTGGTTGAGCACTCCCCCAAATCAAGGAAGCAACCAACACTTAATTAATGTAAGGCAGCCTTGCCCACGTTGGTGCCCTGCAGATGCTCTGTGCCAATGTTCTGGGTGGGGATTTCTGGATGCAAATGGTTTTGACCCAAATTATATCATGCACTCATCTTTGAAAAGTTTAGTCAGACTAAATTCAAACATATAAATTCCATGTTTGAAGAAATTGAAATGAGCAGAAAATATGGCACTTGCTAAAGCTTTTGTTGTTGTCTATCTCCGTTTTCTAGAAGCTTTGCTTGTAGAACCCCTCAGGTTCTCATTTTTCCAATCTTAAACTCAGTTCCCTACGTTTCAGCAGCAATTTACAATTTTTTTAATAAAAAGAAAACCTCATGAAAATTCTTCAGCGTTTTAGAGTAGATTTCCCCTAATGAACACATGTTTATGTAGCGTCTTATAGAGCGAAAAATACGGTAATTTTGACCAACGTACACATTTCTGCAAGTATTTTCTCCTAATAGAGTGCATCTTTGTATGTTATTTTCACTAATGTATTTATGTTTTTGAACACTTTTTCCTAATATAGTTCATTTTTGTAAACACTGGTTGGAGAACTGCTTCAAAAAATTTGGATGAGTGTGAATTTGGAAGGGTGGCTGATTTGGAAAGTACAAATTTGATAGATTCACCTTTAAATGCCAACTCATTTGAATCCAATGAGTTTCCCCATCCAAAATGGAAAAAATTAGCAACCAGGTGCATAAGAAAAAAGGTATTTAGACTACACACATATATACTTTTTGACATTTTAATGTAGACAGTATTGAAACGCTACCATTATAAAATATGCATGGGGGGGTTATCTTCATGAAAGTAAAAATCTGATCCTAAAGCTAGACCTCCCTGGAAATTTTGAGTCAGTAAATCTGGATTTCTCACTTGGGCCTAGTTTTAAAGACCATTTTGCTTAAAAAACAGATACAATAGTGAATGTGATCCCAAATTTAATACAAATATAAAGAATCCTATAACTATAAAATGTCACAGAATAAATGGAATATGGATGCTAATTCAAGCAATTGAGTTTCTGTAATACAGACATCCCTATAAATGTCCTGTTAATACTAATAGAAATGGCTTTATTGCAAAATAATAATAATCCACACACCTATGGCTTGTTTCATTTCCATTTTATACTAGTTGTAATGACTTCAGCCTGGAGCATTTCCTGCAGAATAATGACCGGCTGTGTTTAATGGCCCCCAGTTGAGCCTTGGGCCATCAACTCCTCTTAACCAGCCATTAATCTCAAGGAAATACCTCCCATCTCAATTGTTATTGCAGATCTCTGTAGGAAAAATAATGTGGATTTTTTCCAATCAAAATGTAAATGCCACTATGAAGTTCTCTCTGTCACAGAGTTATGTCAGACACAATATGTTACAGAGATTAAGAAATCGTTCACTTCCATTTCTTTAATACTATTTCCCAAAATCAACTAAACAAAGGTTCTCTTGATCAAGGGTTTTCTCAATCTCGATGTCCACCCTGCCTTTTAAAACTTTTCTGAAGAATCTGAAGTCTGAGAGTATCCATGTCAGCGAATAATACAAGTGCTATAAAATATTCCGCTGCATCTCTAGTTGGTCTCTACTCTGTCATTGATGTAAAAGATCTGAATCAGGCAACTCTAGGGGATTAGTTGTCTAAAGTTAGCCCTAGTCCTTTCATGGAATAAGGACTTGACTCAAGTGCCGGACACAGTGGTGATTACACATCCTTTCCTAGCCACCAAACCCCTGGTCTTCCCTTGGTTTTCATAGAAGAGTGCAGGATATGATATAGTTGTGATGATGGCTTGAACATAAGTGGAGCAAAACTTGGTACAAAGCTGTCCTAACGTGTCTTAGAACCATCTGAAGAAATGATGTTGCGTCTCATTGCATCTGCATGGTCTCCTCCAACAGGGCTCTTCCAGATGGAAAGGGACTTTTATTTATTGGTTTATTTAATGCAGCCTCCTTTGCCATGTGGTGGCTAGGGAAGAGACAAGTAGTCTAAAACATCTAGAGGGTGCCAGTTTGGCAAAGACTGACTTAACAGGTTCATACCACATCCCTCAACAAGCTCCAGGACAGAATTCAACAAGTCAAAATTTCAATAAAACAGAGTAAAAAATATGTAACATAAAAGAGTAGTGAAAAGTTGTCAACAGATAGAAACAAACACAAAGCAATATAAAAGTAATGTGTGGAGGCTTAAGAACCCTGGGGGGGAGGAGGAGGAGGAGGAGGAGGAGGAGGAGGAGGAGGAGGAAGAAGAAGAAGAAGAAGAAGAAGAAGAAGAAGAAGAAGAAGAAGAAGAAGAAGAAGAAGAAAGTAAAGTATTGGCTTATTCTCAAAATGACATCCAGTTTGGTACCAGGTAAGTCTCCCTGCAAAGCGTTTTCCATAGCTGGGATATACCACAAAGTAGATCATTTCCCTTGTCACTCTCCACAACATTTCACATGGTACAGGCAACTAAAGAAAGTCCTCCACTAAAAATCCCAGGGTGTGGGCTGGCACCTGGCACATATGAAGACAAAGAGTCCTTCAGGTGCCCTGGTCCCAAGTCATGAATATCTTTAAAGGTCAAAAACAACACTAAGATGAGCCTGGAAATGAACTGAGTTCCAGTGCATTTGGTGGTACACAAGTATAATGTGAACTTAGTTCTCTTCCAGAGGTATTTTGGGCTGATATCCATTACAAAACCATCTTCAGAAACAGCCCCGCAGGTAGATTACAGTAATCTACTTCTGGATGTTACAGGACATAGATCCTTGAGGGTAGGCTATTTCTGTTTTACCACTCTGAATTGGTAAAATGCAGTCCAGAGGCAACCTGCTGTTACTAAGGAGCTTGGTTCAGCTGGAACTCTGCACGGGCCCTAGGATCATGTTTCTCTTTTGGCTTTGCTCTGGGTAATGAATGTGATGCCATTGCAAAGTAACAGAGAAGGTAATGCTACTTTAAGGATAGTATCTCACAGCAGCAGCTATGCATGGAGTTGAACAGTCACATGGAAAGCAACGTACGTAGGTGCAAGGTTCATTTGTCCTCAGAACCCTTGCAACATCTCATGCAAACACACACCTTTATTTGGTCCTAAAGGCTTCTTCCAGCAAATATATTCTACTGGTAATTAGACTAAGCCTAAATCTGCATATCTTGGGAAATGTTACTGCCTTTCTCCATGAGGGAAACCTCAGTTACTTTGCTGTAACGTCTGCTTTGCCAAAGCCCCTTACAAGCTCCTTGCCACTTTGCAGCAGGAGGCTATTAATCTGTTTTGTAACTTGATACTTGAATTTATTAGCATTCAGAGTTCCCTTCCATGAAGACTTGTCATTAAGGTAATTAGCCTTGGTGTTACAGTGAACGCCCATCAGGAAGTTTCTTTTCTATAACTGGACATCTTGCAGATCATCACACTGTTCCAAGATTCAGTCTCATGGGCTTAATGCTCGCTGGACAGCTCCACGTGTCTCCTTTCCAAACTTGCTCTGACCCCATGGATGCTGCAGCTAGCTCCCTTCCCTTGGCTCTTGTGCCTGTCTCCTCTGTTTCTCAGCCACATTTGTTATTTTCTTTGGTTGAATCCAAACCCTTGTGAGATGCAGAAGCCAGTTTTATCCCATGAGGAATTAAATCAGCTGCTCCATCCTCACTCGAGCCTACTAGGTGTCCTTTCAGAAACCAGAGGAAGCTAGCTGTCTCTGCAACCTGTGAAGAACCCACCGCCCAAGTCAACTGACTCACTGCCAGAGTCCCAGAATGAGTTGGAACTGTGCCACCACAGGTCACAGTAAAACTCAGAAAACTTCTCTGCCTGTACCCTAGCACCAGCCACCGCTCCATATATGGCAACCTCTGCACACTCTATAATGGGATTTGTGTCAGTATGAGCTTTCCAACGAAGCAACATAGACTTCCATAGCCTGCGTAACTTATGACAACTAACTATGGTGTTATTTTTGCACCTCAAGCCACAAAGCCATTTTATTAAGGTTCAGCAGAGTTTTGTGGAAGTTCACTGCTATGTTTTTTAAAAAGCAATAACACTTACTAGATATTTTGAGTTATTATATTGGTTGCATTTAAGGTCAATGTTTTTTTAAAAAATGCAAACAGTTCTACTAGATCAGAAATTAAAAAGACTGAACATGCTGTTAACAAGTACACCAAGAAACTTATATTAAATGGGTACTCAAAAAAAGTACAGCATTAGCCAAGGATTTTTCACCACCCTTACAAATTTTAAATTATTTTAGCCAATTTCAACATTTAAAAAACTTTCTCTGGTCTCAGGCGGGCCATTAAGTCTATGTGTCAGTGATTCACAGTCTGCTGCTAGTCAATAAAATCTGGTTTTAATTCTATGCAGCTTTTTAATACAAAAATCAAGTGAAGTTTAATACTTTAAAGTTTTCTCAAGACCGAACAAAGGGAGAAAATATGTCAAGGACATACAAATTAAGATGACTCACATTCTTTACCACCTGTTTGTTCCTTTCATAGATTGGTCCCCAGTCCCCATTACTATAATATACACTATTATACTGTACAGCATAATTTAGGAATCAATAACTTAAGTTCCTAAGGCCAAAATGGTGACTCATTATTCTGGTTCTGGATACCATCGCCATCACTTTCTTTTAGAACATTGACTGTTATCTTTCAAACTCTTTTCCGTTTGTTATGACGCTTAACAATAAAATAAGGTTGCATACAGAACTACAGTCTACAAGCACTCTACTCTGTTGGGAGTGAAGACAGATATAATATGAACAAAGTACCTGAAGTCAATTCCGGAGTCACAGCCTGAGCCTGACTTCTTCCTGGTTTTGCCAATGACAGATGTGCATGCCAGCACATGGAATGCTCCATTGCTCCATCAGCCATGAGATTTTCTTTTCCTTACATGCTTCTGGCAGCTGGCAGCCTTTTGTGGGCAGGTGGGCAGAGTGTCACATGTATTTGTACCTTATATTATCATCCTCAGCCAACTTTTGCAAATTTGCAGAACCATTTTTTTCAGAGCTCAGTCCCTGCAGAGGAAAGGTATATTTGGACTGTGAGCAAGAAACTTCCAAGTTGGCCCTATTTTTCTAAAAATGTTACATCTCTTGACTTGCAGGGTCCAGTGGAAGTCTAATGACACTACAGAAGAACAAACGTGAAAGCCAACAGAAGATAAATATGGCAACATCCCATTGAAATCAATGTGGCTTAGTCTGCAATTCTATTCAATTCAATTAACAGAGAAGAAACTCCATTGAACACAATGGTACATTTCTGAGTAAACATGTATCAGATCGCATGTATAGACATGAAGGTTCAGTTGCCTTTTTTTTTTCTGGATTGTGACCCAAATGCACATGAATGTGAAATGTCTCTCTTTACATTACATGAATTAAGTGGATAATAATTTGCACATAGAGCTTGTGTGTCTCTCTTGAGGTTATGGAAGTATTTTGTTCATTAGCAAGAAAAATTATTGGTGCAATTTATTATAATTAAATCCTTATGCACTGTGGTTAGAAAATGGTTTATGTTGGCTACACCCATTCTCCTGTGTGGTATGAGGATACCATTTTGAGCAGTTTAAAAGAGGAATGCAGCACTGACCTTTCCCATATCCCTCACAGTAAGGTTCCTTGCAGCTGAAGCTAACATGGAGCATGTGGAATGGATTTTCCTAGTCATGGAGCATTTGGGTTACAGTAAAAAATGATGGTTTTTGCAAAGGCACACTAATTTGACAAATACCAACATTTTTGAGAAACCAGAGTTTGCTCCAAACCTGAATGTGTGTGGTTGCACACAAATATGCTAAATGGATGGCGAAATTGCATTTGTCTACAAGACTGATGGAGAGGTAGAAATTGTGGGCAGACATGTCAAACGCTTGGGATGTGTACTTGGAGAGAGGTTCACAATCCACAGTGATAGTTATGCTAATGACAGGTAGTGTATTATTGCACAACGGATTTACATGGGTGTCTTAACTCTTGCCTCATTGTTCAGATAAGCAAAATATGAAAAATGGGCAACCACATCTAATCCATCACTTGTACAAATCCCTAGTGTAATTAAATGAAAATTGGAAACGCTTCTGCCTAATTCAAAATAGCCAATGATGACAGTTGATTCATTAATGAAACGAAGTTTCTGCGTAATAATTTATGCAATTGACCGATTCATTATGTCAGTGATGAAATGTTCTGCCTAATTCAGGAAAGACTTTGCTTATTCCATGAAGTAAACAATAATGTTACCAGTCTGCGAACTAGGCAGTACGGTTATATAACTCGGGGAGAGTATTTGCATAAATCACAAATTACACATTTTGTTATATTCCATGAACAAAGCATATTTATATTGTTTTTAATGAACAAAACAATGTTGTTAACCACTGTGAGGAAAATGCCAAAAGTGGGATAGGAATTCCTAAAACAAAACAAAAATACACACACAAAAACCCACCCCAATTAAAATTAAATGTTTCAGTAGAAAACACTGTGACTGTCATTTACCCCTCAGCTCCATCAGGATCTGGCATGGTTCGACAGCCCCAGATGCAAAAGACTGAGGAGGAAGGAACAGGTGCAGATGTGGGGAATGGAAGGGCTGAAGGACTCTAGACATCAGAGAGAAAGTAGACCTGCTAGCTCTCCCCAGCACCCCTCCTGTGGAAGCAGGAAAGGGAAGATCCTTCAACCAACTAGAGGGAAGGACAGAACAGGATGAAGTGGTGGCAAAGCTGAAGGCAGAGGGGTAAATATAGTCTTCTTGCTGAGAACCAGGCAACACCTTTAGATACACTCCCCTCCCCAAGATGGTATGTGCATGTGCAGAGGAACTGTAGAGGGGGAGAGTTTTGTAAGTGATCTCATCCTGTTGAAGGATGGTTGTGTCAACTGTTAGGACATCTTTGTACCTTCCATTCAGTTACAAACCTCTTGCCCTGCTCGTGTTCCTTGGAATTTTGACTTCTGGTCCTTGTGCTTGCTGCTGAGCTATTGGCCTTAATAAAGATATTTTCTTTACTTTCAAGGAAGAGTTGCTGTCGTCATGTTTTGAGCCTGCAGTAACTTTATAAAATGTGTTGTTACAGCTACTGGGCAAGTGTCTAGTTGTAAACTGATTGCTATCCTTAGTCAGATGATATTCAGTGAATGATTAGGGATTAATGAGAAATCTGATTCAGCTGACATTTAAAGATGAACCTCCCTAAATCACACTTTCTGGGGGGGAAACCTGAGAACTGAAACACAGCCATCCTTCAAAATTTATACTTCTCCAGATTTTGCAATACAGTTCTCCAGTCAAGGAATGTGCGTAAAAATACGTATACTACAATATGTGTGCATAGAAAAGCATATTTTGTGAAAAGAACATATAAAAAGGAAATTATATTAGGGATAATTGCTTTGCAAAATTTTGTGTATTAGGCAAAATTGCATCCAAAAATGTATAAATCAGGAGAAGTTTGTGCTAAGATGTTGAAGAATTTTCTTGAGGACATTTAAAATACCTGGAACCAGTCAAAATGGGTGCAAAAAAAGGATGCCGAAATGGCAATATTTGCCACAGTGTAACACCACAGGTGGAGATTGGGAAGGATGGGTAGAGAAAGGGGTGGCCCATCTCGTATCACCGCCTGAGGCATACTGTGGGGCCATGCGGGTGCCCATTGCTGTGCCGCTGATCTGAAGGAACAGGTCATCACCGAATTTGAAGTTATTGTGGGTAAGGACAAATTGGCAGAGTTTGGTGGCAAAGTCCGCTGTGGTTTTATCTGAAATGGTGTTCCTTATAGCTTGTAAACCATCGTTGTGTGGGATGTTGGTATACAGAGATTCCACATTCCAACAGTGTCCTTCAGCTCTCTATATTGGACAAACAGGCCAAACCTTACGCCAAAGAATAAACGGACATAAATCTGACATCAAGAATCACAAGACAGAGAAACCAGTAGGAAAACACTTCAATCTCCCAGGACATTCTATACAAGATCTCAAAGTAGCTGTTTTACTACAAAGGAATTTCAGAAATAGACTGGAAAGAGAAGCTGCTGAATTGCAACTTATTACCAAACTTAAAACCATGGAGAGACCTGGTCTGAACAAAGACATTGGATTCTTATCTCATTATACATGACAAAGCCATTTTTCACCTTCTCACCCCTTGCTTTTTCCTGTAAGACCTATTGCAGTCGTTAAGAGTCGTCAATAGGCCTCATCACAGCTATCTGCCAATCACCCTTTCCCACCACCCTTCTGAGTAATACCCCTCCCCACCTTCTCACTATATAGAAGGGTCTGGTAACTTCTGTTTCAGTGTATCTGAAGAAGTGTGCATGCACACGAAAGCTCATACCAAGAACTAACTTAGTTGGTCTTTAAGGTGCTACTGGAAGGAATTTTTTTTGTTTTGACTATGGCAGACCAACACGGCTACCTATCTGTAACTTGAGTAAGATATATTGATATTGTTGCCACCTAGTGCCCAAAAGACAAATCCCTTTGTTTATAAAAGTCAAGACTAAGAATGCTTGAGTTTAAGGTGTGCCCCCCACCCTCCAAAATGTGAGGGACATGCAGATAAAGAACAAAATTTAGCACAGTCATTACTTAACATTGCTGGCATGGACACAACATGAATGTGTTCACAAGTGGCCAAAGTTGCCAAAAACAGGAAATGCTCTTTGACATGAATAAGACAAAAGAAGGCCGGTTGTTCAGTTCATCCCTGTCTGAATTTTTTTAAGTCCAAAACTGTTAGTAGATGAACTCATAATTGGCACAGACAGGGTTATATGAAGCTATGTGTTCAGTAATCTGGAAAATGTTGTTTTATGGATCTGTCATGACATAAATTATGCTAATGTAGTATGAGTTTAAAGCACAATACTTAACAGAGCTTGAGAGAGAGAAATATTGGCTATGGGAAAGGCACTAAGCAGGCTGGAACACAGCCTGGGTTACAGTTCATTAATACATGGTGAAATAAACAATATATAGAAGGGGGAAAGAGTGGACTGTTTCCATGATTTGCACTAGATTTATTCCTGTGCCGCAATATGTACGTTAAAAAAGGTGCACGGGAATTCTTGCTGAAAAATAATACCAGGAATTATTCTTCAAACCTGATCAACATCTCCCCCACACCTGATTTCTCACATGACTGACACCAGCGCTAAACAAGTAATCAAAACCAATTTTAACTACTTGTTACAACAGTGGGTGAAAGTGGGTGTGGGTTACAAAAGTAGGTGAAGTTACCATCCTAGCTGAAAAGGAGTGAAGACAATGTGAGCAGTGCTGCGACTGCTAAAACTTGCAATGTGTGGTCCATTGTACAGTAGATATGATACTACAATTAGTCTTGGGCCAAAAAACTGCTTAGTGGTTTTCATAAACAGGCTAGATGAGAGGATGGAGGATGTTATTAAATCTCCAATGACAGCAATTTCAGAGATATTCCTATAAGTCAGCCATCATACACTATTAATTGGAAAACCTTATGAGCTACCGTAGATTTGGGAGCCATAGGCACAAGAAACAGGGATGCAATGCGCTGAATATTCTCAGTAATACCAAGTGTATTAATTAATAACATAATATAATGGAAAGTTTAATAGTGCAAACTGGTTGCGCTGGGAAGATTTGTTACATGGGTTATAAATCTTCTATCTGTTTTATAATGTAAATTTCTTTGGGATGCCTCGTATGAAACAATTCATAAATTAACTTTAAAAAATGATAATCTTTAAAGCAAAAGCAAAACAGGCAGATGCTTAAAAGGCCTAAGTTGAGGTGTTTTTCTTAAAGACACAAACCAGTTCAATTTGTTTCTTTTCCATTAGTACTGGGGCTCTGAATATATCTGGATTGACTAGTGTACATGGGATCCCATTTTCAACCTACCGGTAGTTTTGTACAAGGGAAGCAACACCTGTGTAGTAAAGTACATATGTATATATATTTTAATCAGAAAGCGCCTAGAGCAAATGGTTTCAACATCTGTAAACCCTTCTCACATCTTGGGCTATGTATTTATTTACTATTATTATTTTGAAATATGGTTGGTTCTGCCATAAGTTCAGTCAGAGTTCATAAGGGCTTGATGTGCCTTTGGTAGAATTCTTTAGGGATAAAGTAGTTTTATTCTCATATCCGAAATTCCTGAACAAATTGGCATCTGAATTTGATCTAAGTGACTGCATCAACCTGCTTACATCTTCTCTTAGAACAAATATTTTAAAAAATAACAATCTAAAATCTTAATTCACATATTTACCTAGAAACAGCCGTGACACTAACATCTGGAGTATTTGTAGCACATGTAGAATAATCCAGGAAGGTGAGTATTTCTTCTCAGAATATATTTAAGAGGTTTAATGTCAGCGGATAAACTTTGGTGACTTAGCACCTGTCAGACTCTGGATGCAACCCCATTCTTGAGATATGCCGGCTGGATGGGGGTATTATTATACAGCAGTCCCAGATGTGCACAGTCCACCAGTAAAGATCTATAAGCATAATTTTGCAGAAACATCAGCACAAGTCCACATTGGCATATTTGTATTGCTGATACAACTTCACCAGTGAAGGGACGTCCCAAGCTACGTGGAAATGGGACCATGATAGGAAGTTGTCAGGTCCTGTGCTTCCTCAGATCCTACCTCCAACACTGGCAAGTTATGGAGTAAGTCAAACTCCATTGACTGAACTCAATTGAAAGCAAAAACCACCACCTTCCAATTTACCCACTTTGCCACAATGAAGTAGAGAATCCAGACTAATCTGGCACCCTGTCATAGCATGCCAACACTAGTAAATAAATTATTGACAAGGAAACCATAACTCAGAAGACAGGGTGCAAGTATTGTGAACCCTTAGAACACACAATGGATCAATTTGGTGGCAGGAACTATGGAGACAGTACATTTTGTGTTACAAAGGGAACTTTTTGTTCAACTAGGCCACAGAACACAAATAGGAAGACTTTACAATATGATTGATACTTCCTTTTCAGTTGAGAATAAACAATCCATGTTTTATCCTCATGTACATCTGATGTAAGAATTATGTTTATGAACTGGATGCCATGAGAGGTTGCAGGCACAGCTGCTCATAAACCCTGATAAATACTTAATTTAGCATGACACTAAAGGGAAAGGAAATAATTTGTATCTGTTCATTAGTCATCCAGCTACTGGGCTAGCCCTGCATAAGTTATACAGACCACATTTCAATTTCAATGTGGCTTATATTTTACTGCTTCCTTCTCACTTAGTTAAACTGGGAGGTGTGCGGCTGATAAGGTTTTTATGTACTCCTGCATTACCTTTTTATTTCTTAACATCTCAAGATGTTGCAAAGCACAAGATGTTGCTGGCAATAACATTCAGAGTGAGCCTTGAGCTCAACAAATTTCACAGATCCACATGGTGCAAATTCTAGCTGTTGCCAAAAGGAAACAAATGCATTTGATTTGCAAATTTGAAAAGCTGTGTTTGTGTCAGCCTCACAGTTTCCACAGCACCAGCCTTAAACTGATAGCACATGTTGCAAAGGGAAGATTTATGGAACCCACCTAGTGAGCTCTGATCCTTCCACTCATCTAGTAGTACACGTGTATATCATAGAAGCATCCAGTTAACATCAGAAAAACTCATGAAATGAGAAAGAATACTCAGTTTTGCAGCCTATTTTACATTAAACCAAAGAAAAAAGATATCCCTCTGCTCCTTCTCACCTGTAAAACCAGTGGTGCCTTTTCCCCAGTGCACAGAAGCTGCATGCACAGAAAAAGATATAAAGAATTAAGACCATGCATATACATGCTTGCACAGGTATGTATACATTCTGCACATACTTGTTCTACTGACCCTGTCACAACTTCCAAGGAGCCAGTGCCATCAAGAAGATCACAGAATGCAACCTTCAAGCTGACTTTAAAAGATAAAGGGTAAAGGGACCCCTGACCATTAGGTCCAGTCGTGGCCGACTCTGGGGTTGCGGCGCTCATCTCGCTTTATTGGCCGAGGAAGCCAGTGTACAGCTTCCAGGTCATGTGGCCAGCATGACTAAGCCGCTTCTGGCAAACCAGAGCAGCGCATGGAAACGCCGTTTACCTTCCCACCGGAGTGGTACCTATTTATCTACTTGCACTTTGACGTGCTTTCGAACTGCTAGGTTGGCAGGAGCAGGGACCGAGCAACAGGAGCTCACCCCATCGCGGGGATTCAAACCACCGATGTTCTGATCGGCAAGTCCTAGGCTCTGTGGTTTAACCCACAGCGCCACCTGCGTCCCTAAGATGACTTTAAGACATGTTAATAACATATACAAAACAGAGTGTATTTTGGAAAGTTGTTTTTCTGTTTGCAGTGGATGTGGACATCTCTTAAAATATCTTAACCAAATTTTGAGGATGATGGTTCCTAAGATCAAGGAACAGGTTTTCATCGATGGTGGGCTGAACCATTAAAAACTGCAATTAGGCTGCTAGCTAATTGAAGTAACCCATGTACTGCTTCCGTGGAGCCAGTTTCTGGGTGCTTCAGTCCATGCTAGGCCCCTTCCATCTCACAGGGATAAAGAAAGGTGATAAAATATGTACAAAAACATTATTTACTTATTTGAAAATTATGGATCTCCTGTTGTTGATATCCAAGGCAATGAACAATTAAAGTCCAAAGACATGCATCATTATATACAATCACATAATTAAAAGAGAAACAAAGAAAAAACACCCTAGTAGTGTTAAAGACAACATCCATTGGGGATGCAAAACCATATGGAGCAAATCAAATAAATAGGATAGACTTGGCCTGGTGCCTAAAGAATAGCTGGAGAGGCAGTAGGTGGGTCTCCTTTGGGAAGGAGATTCATTATTATTATTATTATTATTATTATTATTATTATGGAGCACAGAAAGACAGACACAACCCCAGAGTTTTTCCTTTCTCTAGTAGCCGTCCACCAAATCTCTGCAGGTGAGGGCTTCCAGGAGAGGACATTTAATTTATTAATTTGTTTAACAAAATTTATACACTACTTGATTGTAATAAAACCTCTAAGCAGGTTTACAGGAAATATTAAAATCACATTACAGTGGTACCTCAGGTTAAGTACTTAATTCGTTCCAGAGGTCCGTTCTTAACCTGAAACTGTTCTTAACCTGAAGCGCCACTTTAGCTAATGGGGCCTCCTGCCGCCGCCGCACCGTCGGAGCATGATTTCCGTTCTCATCCTGAAGCAAAGTTCTTAACCTGAGGTACTATTTCTGGGTTAGCGGAGTCTGTAACCTGAAGCGTCTGTAACCTGAAGCGTATGTAACCCAAGGTACCACTGCATTACTGTTAATATTAAAATTAACAGTAAAGACACCTCAACAACTACATGTCAAGATCTGATAGGCCTGCCTCAGCAAAAATGTTCTTAGCAGGTGCCAAAAAAAAAAAAGAGTATGGAGAAGGCGCCTGCCTGATGCCAACCGGCAGGGAGTTGCAAAGTGTAGCTGCTGCCACATGAAAAGATCTTGCAAATGCAGGAGGAGTATTATGCGGCACCTGTAACCGTGCCAGTTCTGCAGAGCGGCCAAGTGGGCTACCTCACCTGAATTAATTGAAAGCACAGGAGGTCTGCAGGCATTGCAGAGTTAGACCAGGCCAAGAGGGTCATCTAATCCTACCCCTTGCAATGCACAAATCTTTTGACGAGGTGGTGGGGGGTCCTTCTATTCTTGAGTCCTGCTCAAGAAGGGCCCCTGGGGCCACGGGCTGGCTAGTCCCTCAAGTTTCCTCACTCGCCTCTTTCCTGTCCCTCCTCACAGCGGCTGCTGCTATTGTCGCTGCCGGACCTTCCTCTCAGCCAACGGTGGCTGCTGCTTATGTGCCCACCCCCCAAACCCCGCCACTCTCTTTCTCTGCTCCCTCAGGCAGTTCGGCCCAGCGCGCGCGAGCGCGCCGACCAGTCAGCCAGCCGGCCCGCCAGTCGCCTCGTCGGTGCGCGCGCGCCTTCCCCGCGCGCTCGCGCCCGGTGACCGTCCGCTTCCCCTCTCTCCCCAGCGCGCGCGCACGGCCACACACGCACGCTCTCTCGCTCTTCTCCCCGCTAGTCCCTCTTTTCGGTGACGTGAAGGGGCGCGCGGTGGCAGCACCTCCCCGCGCGCTGCTTAAAAATAAGAAGAAAAGAGGGAGCGAAACATGAGAGCCCTAGTGAGCTCCAGCTCCCGCCGGCAGCAGCAGAGGAGGCATCACCCCAGCCAGGCTGTCCTCGCTGAATTGCGGCCGCCTTTCTATGGAACGACCAGAAGGGACTTGCTGCTGCTGCTGCCGCCGCCACCGCCACGACCACCACCACCTCCTCCTCGTCTTCTCTTTCGCGCGCCAACGCGGGAGCCCTTCGCGCCGGCAATTTCGACGCCTCAGCCGCGCCAACTAAACCGGCCCTCGCGCAAACTTCCCCGCGCAAAGTGCGCGGCACCTTTCACTCGCCGCCGCCGCTCCCCTTACACCACACGCGACGTGCGCTCTCCCCCCCCCCTCTTTTTTTGGTCCCTCAGACATCACTCGCTCCCTCCTTGGAGGCCTCCCCCCCCCCATCATCTCTGTCTCTTTCTCTCCCCCCCTCCACCCCCGGATCTAAGGGGTTTCCCCCCCACACACACACACACCACACGGAAAGCTCTCGCTCTTGGATTTGCCTTGGGATTTGCCAGCGAAGCTCGCGGAGGCATGGTCGCTCTGAAGATGCTCCCGCTCAAGCTGCTCTTGGTGGCCGTGGTCCTCTGCTTCTTCGAGGGGGAGGCCCGCTTTGGGGAGAGCGGGGGGGCCAAGAGGAGAAGGTGCCTGAACGGCAGCCCCCCCAGGCGCCTCAAGAAGCGAGACAGGAGGCTGATGCTGCTGGAGCCGCCCCTCGGAGGGGAATTCATGTGCCGAGGTTTCTACCCTCGCCTCTCCTGCTGCCCCAGGGCGGACAGCCAGGGCTCGCTGCACGTGGAGAACAAGGTAAGGCGCGCGGCGGCGGGTGGGAGGGCTGCGCACTCCGGGGCTCACCTGAGCAGCAGCAGGAGGATTTGGGGGGGGGTGTCCTCCTCGTGATCTGGGAGGGTGGAAGGAGACTCCTTGGGGAGAACCAAGGAGAGGTGGACCTGTATCTGTCTTGTCTCTCTCCTCTTCAGCAGGCTTGCAAAGGTGGTGAGAAGGCCAGCAGCTCTGGGGAGGTGTCAAAGGTGGCCTGAGCTTAGGTGCATCATCAGATGCACGAAGCAGTAGAGGAGAAAGGTGGGGGGGATAGGTAGATATCTTCACCTGGACTGATTTCTGTTGGCCAAGGAGCCCATATCTTTTTCATCAACCCACATGTTATCCCAAACTCAGGCTTAGCAAAGGAGAGAGGGCTGCAATCCCAAACGGACTTTTGCCTGGGAATAAACTCCGTTGAACTTTCTTGCAAGTGAACTTCCATTGGCTCGCACTGTACGCCCCATTAAGTATAGTTTGACTTAGTTTTGAGCATAAACGTGCAAGAAAGATAGCGCTGCTGTTCTTCTTGGATACTGGCACCTTTGATACTGTTGTGCCCTTGTTTCCTTTCCGTCTCTTCTAGGATGGGTGCTAATTTCAGGAGCACGGTGTGTGTGTGTGTGTGTGTGTGTGTGTGTGTGTGTTGGTTCCTGCAGGTTTCTGTTGTATCTCAAGCACAACAGTCCTTGGAAAACGTCTTACAAGGTTTTGGATGGTCGCTGATGCTGGGTCTTCAGAGAGTGGCGATGTCAAAATCTGGACGCGGGACAGATAGTTTGTACAAAAAAAACCCCAAACCTTGACCGCAGGTTAACAATCTAGGATAACAACTTATTGGGGGGCGGTAAAATTGGGAAATTTTGTGTACTACTGTATAGTGAAGGGATGCTGCAGCCCCTGGAAGCCCCAATTGTCAGGTGGTCCCATCTAGAAGAGAGCAGAAAGAAGCTGAGTTAGGAAACAGGTAGACTTTCGTCCCGGTCTGGATGAGACATGGGACTGGATGGGGGGGGGCAGAGATGCTGCCAATAAAGTCTGGAGGGTTTTCCTGGAGTCAGTCAACGCTCCCTGGCAGCCGTGGGACTATAAATTAAGGTGGCGGTGGTTTCCCCGTTTATTTTTTCTGAGGGTAGAAAAGTGTGTACGATTCTCTCCACAAGTTTGGTCAGGAAACTTCGGGTAGCAGATGGTGATTGGGAGAGCAGATGATGCCAGGACGCTGCAAACTTTTTACGAGCTCTTCCACCGATTAGGTCGGTCCCTTGCTCTGGAGAGAAAAAAGGGGAGGGGGGGAGAGGATTCCCTGAAGTTGTTCCTCGACAAACTGGAGCGGTTGCAAATGGATCTTTCTCAAACGGGATAAAAGGAGGGTATCTACTGGATTGTGCATGTGGAAAGCGAGAGAGAGAGAGAGAGAGAGAGAGAGAGAGAGAATTTGCTTTTTTGCAGCACGACAGTTTTAATGTCATTAGACTTGATGGCATTCTGAGGATAAATGAAAAATCCTAGGCATCCTGGAATAAGAAGGGCGCCTGTTCAGGGGTCTGCTGTTCTTCAGCGTTCCAGCGTGTTGGTGTTCTCTAAGTTTTTCAGGCTATTGTTTCGATCAGAAGGGCAATGTGTAATGCTGGATCTAGGGAGGGAAACGTGATGAATAAATGTCATTGAGAATCACTGCACGTGAAATAAACAATCAGGTGTCTTTCTCACTGCCCCCTCTTTCCCCCTGCTCCCCCTTCCAGCTTTTAGGTTTAATTAAGAATTCCTCCGTTACAACACTGCAGTTGTCAAGGTCTGAGAGCGTCTTGGAAAACTTGTGTTTCAGTCTTTCTGGCCCAAGCATAATAAAAAAAAAATACCCAGCCTGAATCGAATTTTTATGCTCAGTTCACGGTAGATTTCACTCCATTCTCATGTAAACAGCTTCTACGAATCAACATATGTGTCTGGGTGGTATCTCTCACTTTGTTTTGTAACAAAAAGCCATATTGCATCATTTAATTTGCTCAAGTCATGCAAATAGGGAAAAAATCAATAGGACAAAAAGGGGTCGACTTATCCTCCTCCCCACTAAACTGCTGCCCACACACAGAGTCCTGTTGCTTATGGCAAAAGAATAACAACAACACCATTGTATTTGTTGGTTGGTTCGCTAATGGGTGAAACTGGAGAACATCATTCTCCTTCAGTCCCCAGCTCTGTCCAAATGCTCATGCCTTTTGAGAGAGCATTTGTCCTATCGCCTCTGTTCCCAGATGAGCGAGAGCTGTCTTTGCTGCAGGGATTTCAGCAAAGGAAACTCTATTCTTACCAGATGCAGCAGGAGTTTGGTTGAATATTTTCTCCGCATGTTTGGCCAGAGGTAGTGTCAGCAAAGCTCCTGTGTGGTAATCACATTAAACTACACACTAACTACATTCAGATAACCTCCTAAAGTCTCTAACTGAAACCCACAAATGCCAGAGTCAAGCGTGGAGGGGGGGTGTCCTTAGTTTATCCTGTTAGTAACATCTAGAAATGAGCAGCAGCATCTGCTGGATGGACTCTCTGAAATCTCCCTGTAATAAATAAGCTCTCTGTGGTGGATTAAAGGTGAGACAGACTTTACACAATAGTTGCATTTCTACCCAGCTACAGAACTTGATTTCTTAGCACTCTTTCTTTTGTGGCTGGTGACATCTAAAAACACTTTTAACTGGAAGGACATGATTTAATGTACATCTCAACCCATCATTTCAGGCTATGTCATATCCATATATATCATATCATTCATTTAAACAAAACTTGGCAATAAACATTTTTGCACGTCTGTGTACCAGATGGACAAAAATATGCATTTTTTTCCATTTTCGTGTGCAGTGCAAGCCTATTCATGCTTACTCAGAATCAAGTCCCATTGATTTCAATGGGATTTACTCTCAGGTAAGTGTGCTTTGGAAAGTTTGCCACTTCTGATTCACGTGACACATAATGGATGACTTTCCATGCAAAATGTGTCTAGTAGATTTAGTGATAGCAGACTCTGAACAGGGTGCTCTGGAAATGCTCCAGGAAGTACGTCCCTATGGCTGTGCTGTGACACTGCACTTATGATATACCCACCCACAGACAAGGGTAAGCGTGATAAGAAAGAAGTGTTTCAGCAGTTTTTAAAAGTAATGAAGCACACTCAGCAGTCATTTCTAATCACAAAGAGCCTCTTGGTTTAAGACTACATTTGTCAACCCTCTGGCAATTTAATGATCAAATTATTGATCTGTATTTCTAATGAAATGCTGCCAGCCTCTTAAGTAGTGCGAAGCTGCAACAGAAAATGCACAGACACATGAAATTACAGTCTCCCTTTATCATCTTTATTTTGTTTTGTTTTTTGTTTGCATGATGTCATTGACATTTTATCCCTACCTTCTAGTGCTCTGGATCATTCTCCATTTACCATTTGATTTTCTAAATTCATAAGCAAATAATGACATATTAAAGTTTTGTACATTGTTGTTGTTGTTTTTTAAGTTTTCTTACAGGCTGTCAAACACAGTGATCTTCTCTACCTTAGTTGGTTTCGCAGCCAAGGCTGTCAGGGAATGGGTGAAAAGTAATTGTTTTCAAGTGTGCCCTTTTACAATCATTTGTTTGCTCTGGCTCTTTCTTCAACAAAAGCTATTGTTGAACACATCCAACTAAACAAATAACTCATCTTGGGGTCCCTGTAACAGCTGCCTTGGTACAATGATCTATTTACATATTGTCCTAAAATTGAAACTGAACTCCTTAATGACATAATCTAGTACTATAGTACCAAATGAAGCATATGCTGAAACTAGCAGCTGAACCATCTTGAAAGCATTCTGTTCGCAGGAATAATTACTTGTATACCAAATACTGCTTCATATTAACATCAGAACTGAATGCTATGATTTTTCTGCTGACTTGCCTCCTTGCACCCATGTGAAATGGTACAAGTTGTGTTGGCCAGATTCTCTTGTAAAATCAGAAGAAATTATGCTCCTATATCAGAAGAAATTATGCTCCCTTTCACCTTTAGCTTAATAGTGCCAACCCAACTTTGTAAACTACAAGTCCCTGCATATTTATCTCACCTGTCTTCTCTTGGCTTCAGCTTCCTGGGTAGAGATTAAAGGATGAGTTAACATATGTTATGAATCAGTCAGTAGGCATAATAATTAGTAAGCATACTGTAAGCTTAAGCCACTATAATTTCATGGTTCTACATATGGCTTTTGGAAACAGCAAACTAATTTGAGTATAACAAATCTGATTTTTTTAAAAAAAAATGTATGCTCATTCTTAAAGATACATTTTACATTTGGGGGGAGGGGCACATTTATTCAGATTAATCCACATTTGCCATGCCCATGACAGATTTGCCAGTGAGTTAAACAGGGTCTGTAGGAACTGATGCATGCAGAAAGTCCCAGTCCCTGACATCATCAGTTAACAGGATCTCAGGTAACTGATCTGTAATCTGAGAAGGAATCATAGCTCAGTGGTAGAACACCTGCTTGGCATGCAGAAGGTCCTAGTCAAAAGAATTAGGTAACAGATTATGTGAATGGCCTCAGGCTAAGAGCAGCTTGCCACTCAAGAGTAGGCAGTATTGGGTTGGCATAAAGCTGAGTTGGTATAAGCCTATTTCCTGTGTACCAGAACTCATATATTGCAAAGTAGGCTAAGTCTGCAATACGAGAGCAGTATGAAGTAACATACCACACAGAGACAAGATCAAGTAGGGCATGTTCACATAGAGACTTCCTCACACCCCATTAGGCCTGTTTCTCTGGGCACACCTTTGATGCTCTCTCTGTGTGTGTGTGTGTGTGTGTGTGTGTGTGTGTGTGTGTGTGTCACCATAGGTGAGGGAAGTCCCTGTGTGGGTGTGTCCTTAATGTGTATTTCATAGGGCCAATCCAACCATAAAGGCAAACTAGGCAAATCTGGAGTGTCAAATTCCAGGGGTGCCCACT